GACAGGCTGTCATTCCTTTTTAAGAGGAATTTAAAATTGGTTCAAAAAAAGACGCAAGTCATAAAGACATCTGAGAAATGCCAAAATAAGAAGTGGTTGGTTAAAAGAAAGATGATTAGTTGAATCCGGTGATTGGAGGCTTGTAGATGAAACAGTCAACTGAGTTGTTCTCTTTTCAGTGTGGTGGGGTGGCTTTGAAATCAGACAGCTTTGAGTTCAAGTCTGAACTCTGGTATTCATGCCCTAGGTGATATTGAAAAAGCGTTGCTTTGCCTAGCTGAGCCTCATCTGTGAAATGGGGATAATGACAGAACCTACCCCATAAGGGGATTGGAAGGGTTAATGAGATTACAGCTTTTTCAGCTTGTAGTAAAATATTGATAATTAGATCTTCTCATCATCATCACCCACCACCATCATCCTCATCTCTATTTACATTATTACTATTTTCATTTAATAAAGAGAAAGATCTTTTAATGCTTGTCATGGCTCTGATGAGCTTCATGGTGTAGTGAAAACATGACTTTGAATTCAGGTAATCTTCCAATCTGTGCCACTCATAAGCTATGTGACCTCATACAAGTCATTATATTTCTCTAAATCTGTTTTCTCATTTGTAAAATGAGCACAGCTTTCAAGAGGATGTTGGAGAGGTAATGAGGAATGTTGATTATGCCTGGCATGGAGCAAGTCATTTAACCAATGTTGACTCCCCATCTCCCATATCCAGTCCTGTATCCTCCACAGACTGCTTTGCAGGTGGTATATCTCAGGCGAGCATAGAATATAAAATGGTCTCTGGGTTTCTAATCACCAGACCTCACTAAGAGGCATCCTGTTGGTTTTTCAGTACTGCCCCCTACAAGGCCAGTGTTCCATTGTCATGGCTTTAGTTGCCAGGGCGTGTTCTATGATCACAGAAGGGATCATAGAGCTCATCCCACATTCCACCTGCTCCCCTGAATTTTTCAGCTTTCTTGGTGGTTAGAGTGAGGCCATGTGGCTACTTCTACCCAATAGACCATGAACTCGAACATGGCATTTCCATTTGGAGAGAGGGAAACAGCAGTGGTCAGAAAGCCAGCATTAGAGATAACAAAACTGCAGGATGGGAGTGACTTGGATCATCAGGTCACTGCAGGGAAGACAGTGGTCCTGGAAAGCAGCTGAAATCCCACAGGACTTTGGTGAGTGAAAACTAAACCGCTGTTGCATTAAGCAATTCAAATTTTGAAGTTTGTTACTGCAGCATACCCTAACCTATACTGATTAAAACAAGAATTGATCTCTGCAGTCAAGTCCATGTATCTGCTTGTGATTCTTGCTCTGAGTGCATTAGTGGGTAGGTGGATACTACCCTTTTACAGGCTGATGGACTTACTTCCAGAGCAGATTTTGGTTGGAATAGATGGAACCTGGAACTCCTGAGTCCCGAGATCTGCCATGACATTCATGACCTTTTATGCAAGCTGAGGCTGTTCCTTAGAGTTCTGATGTCCCAAATGGCTGAGAGGAAGGAACATGGACAGCCCAAATCATCAGAGGCCTCAACTGGTTCCTTTACAGTCACATAGCCCCCTACACATATTGGGGTGCCCAGTGGATTTAATATGTGGAATATCATGGGCATCTACTGTTTCTCCCACCAGAATCCACACTTGCCTTTATTTTGATGCCAGCACCTTAATTTTGTCTTGAAAACTATTCATTGGATGCAAGCTTGGTGAGCTTTTCAATCAGAAGCCTCCATCATCATTTTCCCAAAAGGAGGCACATGACTCAGCCTCAGTAGTGATTCATGCCAAATGCAACCACTTTGAAGAACTGGGGAGGGTCTCTGCTTCCCAGATCCTCAGAATTGCTTTTGTGCTCTCCCAGGCCTACTTTTTTAACTCTCTTTGGTCTATGAGATACTCCTAACCTTCTAACAAAGCCCTCCCACCCTTTTCTGGCTGAGTATAGCGAGCATTGGTCCCTTTCCAGTGCAGAGCCCTAAGGAATGGATGGTCATGAATGTCATCTCATATCAACAAAGCCCCTATCATGCGCTGGTGACTTGCTGCACTCTGTTGTCTTATTATTCTAACCTTGGAACGTATTATATGTCTGATGTAAACATAATCATAAACAAAGTAAATACGACTCAGAAGACAAGGAAGATGCAGTTTTATGTATTCACTCAACAAACACACTGTGATATTCACTCAACAAACACACTGTGAATGCCAACTATAAGCAAATCCACTTCTAGGTACTGAGAATAAAGCAACAAACAAAACAGATTTAAAAAAACCACCACCCTCATGCGATGGGCATTCTAGTTGGAAGAAGCAGACATAAACAGCATGGATAAGTAGCAACATAATACTCAGATGCCGAGACGTGCTGTGGGGAAATAAAGCGGGACAGGAGGACAGGGAGACCATGGGACAGGAACCGGGGGCAGATGAAGAGGGGTTGCCATTTTAAACTCATTGTTCTGGGAAGACCTTGCAGAGATTTGAGCAAAACCTGGCTAATAGAGTTGTGTGTTCTCTTGTTCGTGTTTCCAAATTCCATTTTCCAGGTGATTCGGTTTATAGGGTTGTTGTGGGAACAGGATCTGACACTTAATAAGTCCGCAATAAACATCAGCTGGAAAACGAGCTCGAATGAGCCACCATTCAGATACCAAGCCAGTGCTGGGTGTGTGGGGAGTGCCAGCATTCACCCTCCAATCCCAAGCTGCCACCCTGAGGCTACCGCCTCCCAGAGGCCCCAGACAGAGTCCCTTCTCCCTCAGGCCCTGGGAACTGCTAAGGCTGAGGCCTCAGAGGGTGTTGGGCCTTCGGATCACAAGACCCCCACCCAGACTGCTCTAATTAGGGATATCCAGCACAGATGGGGGAAGGGGGGAAGAGACAGAGGGAAAGGGAAAAGTGGGGAGGGGAAGAGAAAGAGGAAAGGAAGAGAGGAGAGGGAGAGGAAAGTGAGAGAGGAAGAGGAAGAGGGAGTGGGGAGGAGAAGAGAGGAAGGAGAAAGAGGGAGAGAAAGAGAGAGAAGAGTGAGGGTGGAGAGAGAAGAGAGAGAGAAAGACGGGGAGAGAGGAGAAAGAGAGACAAAGAAAAGGAGAGAGAAGTGAGAAAGAGACAGAGAAAGAGAGAAAAGGGAGAGAAAGAGAAGACAGAGGAAAGAGGGAAGTAGGTAAGAGAGAGTGGGAGAAAGAGGGAGGAAAGAGAGGGGGTAGAGGGGGGGAGAGAGGGAGAGAGAAAGAAGAAAGATAAGACCAGAGAGAAAAGAGAAAGAGAGAGGGAGAAAGAAAGGGAGAGATGGAGGGAGAATGAGAGGAAGTAGAGAGGAGGGAGGGAGGGAGAGGGAACAGAAAAGCAGTACGCTAGGAAGGAGAGGAGTGTATAACCCTTGCTGGAGAGGAGCAGGTAGAACAGTGGGCCCTCTGCAGTGGTTTGGTGGGTTTTGACCCAGGTGGCTAGGGTACAGTTCCTCTTCAGCTCCTCCCAGCTGCCCTATCCTGCCTATATTTGAGAAATGGTTCAGGGCATAGATTTGGGATATAGGTGAACCTGGGTTCACCTGGGTTCAAACCCCATCTCTGTCATTGCCTGGCCATGGGAACGTGGGCAATCCCTCCACTCTGCGACTCTCAACTGAACAGTATCAACTTCACAGGTTAAAGTGGGGATCACGATATGGTTCACGGAAGGCACACTGGCATGTGCCAGGCAGACAGTGGGTGCTTAGTCAACATTCAGTGCTGCTGTTAACATTCTAACCAGATTCAGGGATCAGCTCAGTCCTGGCTCTGGGTCCATGGACTCTGCGGACTCTGCGGTGAACTCAGCCCCTGAGGAGACCCCTGGTCTCCGCGACCTTAACGCAAAGCCTTGGTTAGGGTCCTGAACAGGAACTTGCTGCACAGTGGCTCTTCGTCCCGCTGCGCACTGGAATTACCTAGGGGACTTTTAAATAACACAGATCCTTAGGCCCACACCCAGAGGATCTCACATAATTAACTCGGGGTGCAACCTAGGCATCTGAATATCTAATAGCTGCACGGATGATTCCCAGGTGCAGCCTAAGTTGAGAAGCACTGTCCAGGGCTTTGACTTAATCTTCCATATTTATTCCTCAAGAAGGAGATATACTCACACACCGTTTCCATAGGGAGCCTCACAGACCGCCGGATTATTATTATTAGTATTTTTAAATTTGGTGTCACAAGCATTTGTTAAGCATCTACTATGTTCCCAGAACGTGGTTAGACCCTGAATAAGCATCATTCCCGTCCTCAAGCAGCTTGGAGTCTGGGTGGCCATACAGTGAACAAACACGATGCCTAAGAAGATTACAGGAGAGGTGAGGAAAGAAACATCACATCACCCGAATGTGTGGGAAAGAAGAAAGGAGGTACAGGGTCACACCTAAAGCTCAACGTGAAAAAAATGAGTAGCAGTTTACCCTGGTAGAGAGGTGAGGGGAAGGTGGGTAACCCAGATACCCTGAACAGCATGAACAAATGCAGGGTGGTGAAAAACCCCACATTCGACAAAATGAGGAGGGACATTGCCTATAGGCAAGTCTATATAGCAGAGAAGGGAAAGGGCAGGAGAGGAAGCCAGGCAGTAGAGGTCTTTAGCCAGGCTCAGATCCATGGCATTCAGATTACGGGGAATTTGGGAGCCACGGAAGGCTGTAGGGGAAGCCTTCATCCTGTGCTTCAGACTTCAGGGTGTGGCTGCTGTTAAGCGCTGGGGTGTGGGGCATCTGAAGAAGAAAAAGCCTGTGCTTGGCAATTTCCTCCCAAGTAATTTTATTCCATTCCCTTCCATCACGCAAAAACCTGAAGTTATCCTGAGAACAAACGTCACTGCCATGGAAACAGTAAGAGAAACAAACAATGCGTGCACTGTATAAAATGGTACATAAAGGCTGTTTATTTTCCATACCATTATTTTAATAGGTGGGGATGGCAGTGATGAGCTGGAGGAAGAGCAGGCTTTAATGGTGCCGCTAACGTTGCCTTTCCTTAAAATGACTCGCAATGCTCACAGACATTCAGACCCCGGCGCTTAGATCACGTCTCCGGCTTGGAACTCCCGCTGGTTTAGAATCTCACTGCTGGGAAGCATCACCTGTTCCTGGACCCGAAAGGCAGTGTGGTCAAGTGGTTACAGACTCAAGCCAGAGGTGAGACAGCCCTGGGTTCCATTCCTACTTCTGTCACACTTACTGACTGGTGACCGTTGGCAAATTTCATCACCCCTCCGAGCCTCCGTTTACTCACCTGCAAAGTGTTTCCACTTTGTCATTCATTTATTCCTTCACTGGAAAGTTAACAAGAGTTCACTGAAAACTTGCTATGTGCTTTGATCTCAGAAAGGTTCTGGCATTCATTGAGCTTCAAGTCTAGTGGGAGAACAGAGATAATATATCTGCGAACACATAAATAAGAGAGATAATTGTAGATCGTGATATAGGCTGAGTAAGATTTAAAACCAAGGTTGTCCTCTCTGATGAGAAGCCAGTCTAGCTGGCCACAGAAAGAGGAGAAAGAGCCAGCCGCTTACATATCAGAAGGAAAGGCCCTCCAGGCAGGGGCATGGCAAGAGCAAAGTCCTAGGCAGCTCTAAGATTAGAATCCTTGCAGCTGGCGCTTTATAAAAGGAGGTACAAGGTAAGGCCAAATGAGAAGGAGAGACCAGATCAGAAGGGTTCTATAGGATAAGGCAGGAGTGTGCGTTATAATAAAACTAACCTTCCAGAGTTGTTGTAAGGATTGAAGAGAATATCGAGTGGCAAACTCTAAAGCAGTTGCTTAAAAAAAAAAAGTCAGCTTTTACTTTCAACAAGATAACTGTAGTAGAACTCATCGTCTCTCAGGTGTAGTTGCTGACATCATAGAATGATTGAATTTCAGAACTGAGAGATCATTTTTCCTAATTATTCTACTTTTTCATATGGGTGAATTAAGGATCAGAGAGGGCAAGGGACTTATGGATGTCACACAGGAGTTAGCGGGGGATGCTCTGGGCTTTTTAATTTCCACTCACTATCCATTGAGCTCTTGAACTCAAGCCCATGCCACGATCTCTATGGGGAAATTCCTTGACTTTTGTTTCTGCTGAGTGGTACTTCCTTCCAGGGACAGTGTGGAAAACCACACTGGAAAACCACAGACCTGGTGCTGTGAGTGTGTGGCTTCTCCCTGTGGGCCTCAGAGGGTCCACAGACATCCCTCCTCCTGACACAGAGGCTGCGTCTGTTCTCCTGTGTCCTCCCTGGCAGAGAGGCTGGGCTTTGGCTGGGGAGCAGAGAGAAAGGACAGGATATTGATCAGCAGGGACCTTACCTAGCCTGGCCTTTTCAATATTCCATACTAACAGAGTGGTAAGATTTGAGAGGAAGTCGAAGGGCTGGAGAATGTTCCTGTAATTGAACAGAACAGTCCTGCCTTGGTTAATTTCAAGTGAGGAGGCTCACACAAAAAAATGGGTTAGATTGACCAAGCCCCTGATGGGTTTGGAAGTTTTACTTATTCTGCACCTTTAATCCCAGCTGGACTTCCTTCTGGTTCTAGACATCCATAAATGCATGTACTAAACCCTATGAGAGAAGAGATTTTTCTAGCATTTGGGCTCTGTTTTTCCCTGACCATTTCTATAATGTACGGTCGCTGCTCCTGTTCATTGAGCACCTACTACAGGCTGGGCAATCAGTTCAGCACTGATCATGCAGCCCCCTCTTTTACTTCCATAATAACCCTAGGAAGTAGTTACTAATATTCTTCACCTTATACAGACAAGGAAACCGATGTTTAAAAGTTACTCACCGGCCGGGCGCGGTGGCTCAAGCCTGTAATCCCAGCACTTTGGGAGGCCAAGGCAGGTGGATCACGAGGTCAAGAGATCGAGACCATCCTGGTCAACATGGTGAAACCCCGTCTCTACTAAAAAAAATACAAAAAATTAGCTGGGCATGGTGGCGCGTGCCTGTAATCCCAGCTACCTAGGAGGCTGAGGCGGGAGAATTGCTTGAACCCAGGAGGCGGAGGTTGCGGTGAGCCGAGATCACGCCATTGCACTCCAGCCTGGGTAACAAGAGTGAAACTCCGTCTCAAAATAAATAAATACACAAATAAATAAATAAATAAATAAAAGTTACTCACCTAGGAGAGAGTTCTGACTTAAACTGAGATATGTCTGACTCCAAATAAACCTGCTTGTTCCAGAGGACACAGGGACTCATGGGGTCCCCAAACACAAAAGTCTTAGAATAGCCCATAGATGTGTGCTGCTATGCGGATGCAGTCTGTTCTCTATGGACTGGAAAATGTATGTGTCACAGTTTATAATGCCAACAGAATGTGTACATATCCACAGTATCTTTAATTGATTTTTCTTCTCATCTTTGAGTCCCAAGAACATAACCCTTAGTCGGGAAAATCTCCTAGCTGGGTTTGCAGGAATTTGACTGTGGGGGCCTGATCCAACCCGATGTGTCTGTCCCTCTCTTTCAGCTTCCTCCACGTTCCTGAGGGTGCACTGGTTTTCCTTCCTGTCTGGCCACACAAGCCTCTGGAGAGTGCCCATCCATCTTACAGGCTCACTTTGTATTCTGTAAACTTTCAGTGTGAAAATAAACGCATTGCCTCCCTGTCAGAGCTCTACCGTGCATGGGTATTTCTTAAGAGCCAGGGCGGATGATACAGACAGACCAAGTATTTCCAAGGAAACCAAAGGGGCATAATTGCTTCTTTCCAGGTAATGTGGATGCACCGGATGGGGTCGGCTGCATCACAGTGGATCATTTTCTTGTTAGCGTCTGGCCAGAGTGATGTGAGGACCACGGGCTTCCTGAGTGATGCTGCATAGGCTCATCTGCAAGTGACAAAGACCAAAATGAAAATAGAGCGTGGAGACACTAGCTGGATGCTCTGCGTCCCCTTCAAAGACCCACGGTGGATTTGTCTCCTGAGACATACTATTGCTGGGACTTTTTTTCTTTTCATTGTCTTCTTATCTTTTCAGATGTCTTTTTTTTTTTTGTATTTCATTTTTACTCTGAGACAAAAGATTTTTCTCTTTTTTTCCTCTCAGCGATTAAAATCTTTCCATCAACCAGATATTCCTAAGGGAGATACATGATGCAAGATTTGGCAGGGTGGGGGTGTAAGTGTGCACTGATGGAGAGAGCAGTCACGGAGTACAGACTGTCTGATGACCTCAAAATCAAGCCCCTGATTAATCACGATCTGCCTAGACAAAGAAATGGGATCACAGACCCATGATGACAATGACTTCCATTAATTGCAACGACCCTGTTTTAGCCTCAGGACCTTGCACTTGCTGTGTTTTCCACCAGGAATGTGCTGCAGCCTGCGCTTGGTGTCTGTCTCACCATTCCTTTCTCTACTTAAATGTCTCCTATTCTAGAAGACCAACCCTGATTGTTCAAAAAGAACTTGCCTCTTTTATTCTCAATTCACCTTGTTTTATCTGCCTCATAGAATTAGAGCTCTCTGAAATTCCTATTTGTGAATGACTTTATGGTCTATTTCTCATCTGTACAAAATAAACTCCAGAGAGCAAGAACTTTGTCTTGTTCAATGCTGTCTCATCAGTGCCCAGAACAGTGCCCGACACAGGCACTATCCTAAGTGCTTTATGATGATGTGTCAATGATTCTTAAATGACAGCCTTTCATTGAAATGGTTTCTGGGAGGTTAATTTATTTGTTCAAAATCCCACCACTGTTAGTTAGTAGGAGATAAGCCATTCAAATGGAGGCTTGTTGAGATTCAAAGCCCAGGCTTTAAACAACCCTGCTAAACTGCCTCCCCTAGCATAGAGCATTCATCTTGGAAGTGGTTTGGGCCATTGTGTTGCCAGGCTTCACTAGAATGTGAGCCCTGGAGAGCCAGAGACGGAGTCTGTTGCATCCACAGCACCCAGCACTGTTTGCCACGTGGTAGACATTCAATGAACAGTAAATGCTCAAACAGTATTTGTAGATAGATGGACAGATGGGTGAGTGGGTGGATGGTTGAATGGATGGATGGGTGGATGAATGAATGAATAGAAAAGAGGGAGAAAAGAAGATAGAAAGGGAGGACAGAAGGAAGGGTAGGTAGAGGGATAGCTGAATTGTTGGATGGATGCATGGATTCGTGAATATATGGATGAGTAGGTGGGTGTATGGATAGGTGGGTAGATGAATAGGGAAACAGAATCCCAGAGAGACTGGTGACTCACTTAATATCACACAGCAAGTCAGCAGAGGGAGGAGAAATCCAAACTCAGGGCCCCTATCCTAGTGCTCACTCTCTCACAACACCAAATATTTGAGAATGAAATTGAATGTTTTCCTTACAGTCTAGGTAGGTATGATAATGGCGATAATTGCTCCAACTGTGTAGCAAAAAACTGGGCTAAATGCTTTAGTCCATTAGTTCATGGGATCTTCTCTAGAACCCTAGGAAATAAGTGCTGTAATAGCCCCTCATCCTCAAGGACATTATTATCCATTTATGTCAATCACTCCATGTGATAAGTGTTATTTTTATCCCTACTTCTCAAAAGAGGAAAATAAAGCTCAGAGAGGTTAAGTAACTTGCCCTTGTCATCCTGTAAGGAAGAGGTGAGGCTAGGATATAACCCTTTGCCACCACTGTACTAATTTTAACCGCATAAGAGCTGATGCTCTGTTTATCACATGGCAAAATACAAGGCGAATAGAATTGTAGGCACACACCATCTAATCAGCAGAGAAGCTAAAATTATCTCCCCAGGCGGCATTTGGGTAGCAGGAAGCTCACCCTGACACCAGAAACTAGGCAGGAAGGGCCCTATTAGATAGACCACAGCCCGGGCAAAAGGTAAACCAAGTGTATGATATCAAGCAAGTTACTTTGCCTCCCTGAACCTCAGTTTCTTCATCTGTAAAATGGCTATCAAAATGTGATGGATGAAGATTTTTATCTGCAAGCTGTTCTAGTCCCTCTCAGAATTCTATTCCTATTAGGCTATTTCTTCTTCCAAAAATAGTCTTCATATTGTTCCTAAATAATCACTTTGCATTCCCAACACCACACTCTCAGACAATCAGGTCTGCATCCTGTTTTCTCAAAACTTTCCTCTGTGCCTTGTTTTAGCCAGCAAATGGAATGAGTAAATCTCCACCCACATGTTCAACGGGTTAATGGTTTACAGTGCCACTTCTTCCTCATAAGACACCTGCATGCAAGAAATGATCTAGGAATTCAATGTACTTACCAAAGGTAGTAACCCCGTGGGTGCACTTTTAGTGACTGTGGCCCTTCTGGTTGTGAGGAGGAGTTGAAGCTGCAGGAGGTAGCCACCAAATCATAGCACAGACGCAGCCACCAAATTTCTGGGAGGTAGCCTGTGAACGTGAAATGGGTTCTGGCCTGGCCTTGAACCTGTCAAATCCCACTGCTTTCTGACAGAGTGACCTTGGCTGGCTTGGAGTCTTCCACAAAAAAATCAGATACTTATCTGTCAGATGGTGATAACCACACCTCACTATCAGGATGATTATGAAATTGGTGAGAGACTGTGCCTGGGTAGGACGGCACCTGGCAAACAGTAGATTATTTACACAATAGTTTCCTTTTCAGTTGGGTTGCTTGTTTTTTTTTTTTTCTTGTAAATTTGTTTAAATTCCTTATAGATGCTGGATATTAGGCCTTTGCAGATGCATAGTTTGCAAACATTTCCTCCCATTCTATAGGTTGTCTGACATTACAGGGTATATACCCAAAGGAATATAAATTGTTCTGTTATAAAGACACATGCAGACGTATGTTAATTGCAGCACTGTTCACAAGAACAAAGACTATCCTAGTGCTGACTCTTTCGCAACACCAAATATTTGAGAATGAAATTGAGTGTTTTCCTTACAGTCTAGGTAGGTATGATAACGGTGATAATTGCTCTGACTGTGCAGCAAAAACTGGGCTAAATGCTTTAGCCCATCAGTTCACGGGATCCTCTCTCTAACCCTAGGAAATAAGTGCTCTTGAATGAGCATGTATATATATATATATGGTACATACACCATGGAATACTATGCAGCTATAAAAAAGAATGAGATCATGTTCTTTGCAAAAACACGAATGGAGCTGGAGACCATTATCCTTGGCACACTAACAGGAACAAAAAAACAAATATCACAAGTTCTCACTTACAGGTAGGAGCTAAATGATGAAAGCACACAGACACATAGAGGGGAACAACACACACTGGGGTTTACCAGAGGGTGGAAGGTGGGAAGAGGGAGAGGATCAGAAAAAGCTATTGAGTACTAGGCTTAAGATCTGGGTGATGAAATTCATCTGTACAACAAACTCTGGTGACACAAGTTTGCATAAATAACAAACCTGCACATGTACCCCCAAACCTCAAAGTTAAAAATAGCTAACCTATCTCTGTTTTTCTCTCACTCGCTTTCTCCCCTTTCCCCTCTTTTTCTCCATCTTCCTTGCTTCTTTACATTTCCAGTGAACAAGTCTTATGAGTACCCACTGCATGCTAGCCCTGTACTATGCAGAGCCAGAGTGTATAACAGCAGACAAACAGGCAAGGTCCCTCCATAGAGAACTGGCAGCCTCATACAGTGAAGCGTCAAGTGCTTCATCTTCTCCAAAGGAGAAATCAGCCCTCCTGCACCCCTGCCTCAGCCACCTTCTTTATAAAAACCAGTTGGGTTTTCTGCAAGAATGGAAGCCTCTTGCAACTCAGGATAGGATTTTACAGGGGGCTCTCTGTCCCCCAAAGGCTGGGGCAGGTCTGGGCCTGCAGTGAGTGGCCCATAAAAGAGCATTGTTTTAGTGAGTACGTGGGGAAGCTCTGGGTGTGGAGAGTCTTCTGAAATCCTGGGCCAGAGTGCTCCCTCTTCCCTCCTTCATCCAGTATTCACCTCCCCCACCCATTCTTTCTAGGGACTCCTGGCTCCACCACGCTGCTAAAGACATATTCCTCCCCCTGTTGCTGCCTGCAACCTTCTCTCCATCTGCTCCCTCCGCCTGTTCAGGCTGCAGTGTGTAGATAGTATGGCAAGGTAGGGTGGGGGAAGGAGGACAGCTTCTAAATTGGGGTGAGAGGCCTGTAAAGCCTGACCAGCCTGCCAAGACTAGGCAGGGAGAAAAGACAGTCTCCAGAACTGTGCACAAGCTTGTCCCCACCTAGTTCTCTGCCAATGTCTGTCCCCAAGTATCTGCTTGTCTCCCTCATTGCTTGTCCCTCACCACCTCTATTTGTGGAGAAAAGACACGTTGCTTGAGAATCAGCAGCAGAGGTGCGCCTTGCAGTCCTGCTCAGATGAGGAAGGGGGTGCAGGAAGGGGCAAGGGGCTGACCTGAGAGGAAGCCTGCTCCAGTGCCCTGCCGGCAGTGGGACTGTGGGAGATGGGGCTCAGATTAGAAAGTAGAGATGGATCTTAATTTCGAGTTTGTGATTGGGCTTCAGAGGGGTCCAGACCCCCTGGTGTTAGATGCAGTTTTGTGGCTGCCTGTAGTGTTCTAGAGAGATTCAGAGCTCTCACCAGATCCGTAGAGTGAGAGACTTTCTAGGTTATGGGGACTCACTTTGGAAGCAGCGGGGCCCTGGCGGGGAAGCAGGCTGGCTGGATCCCAGAGGGCCCTGGAGAGAACTGGAACTGGGATGTATCTGGAAGGCTGGACAGGCAATGGAAAGCTCCGGGCTGCTCACAAGCTCGGTTTCCAGGCCTCCATCTCTCCGTCTGGAAAATGGTCCGGGTGCTCTCCAGCTTGGCCTGGCCAGGCAGGGCTGCTGAGAGCGTCCGCAGAGAGAGGAAAAGCTCCGCTCCCAGGACGCGAGGGGGATTGGCGTTAAACTTTGCAGGGCCGACGGGCCGGCGGCCAGAGGAGGCGGCTGGCACCCCCGGCGCCGCCGCAGCCCCTCCAGCTCGCTGCCCGCTCGCCCGCCCCCTCCCTCCCTGCACTCGCTCGGCACAGACTCGGCCCCAGCCCCCTCCCTCCTCCCTCTCGCTCCACGCTCGTTCGCTCGCTCGCCGGCTCCTCCTCACTCGCCCGCCCGCGCCCGGCGCAGCTCGGCCAGAGCGACCGCGGGGCTGAGCGCGCGTCCGCCCGGGGGGCTCCGGAAGCTGCCCCGGACCGCGGCCCCCTCCCTCGCTCCCGCCTCCCTCCCTCCTTCCCCGGCTCCCGCGCCGTCCGCCCGCCCCCCCCCCCCCGCAGCCGGCGGCTCCGCGCCCCCCGCAGCCACGATGCCCGCGGCCCGGCCGCCCGCCGCGGGACTCGGCGGGATCTCGCTGCTCCTCGCTCTGCTCCTGGGGAGCCCGGCGGCAGCGCTGGAGCGAGGTAAGCGCCCCGAGGGGCGGGGCGGGTAGGGGGCGAAGTTGACTGGAGAGCGGGGCGGCCAGGGGTCGGGGCTGACCGGGCGACTGAGGCACCACCCGCGGGGATGGGAAGCGGCGGCGGCTGCCCGAATTCGCGACCAGGAACCGCGCGCCCCCTTGGCCCGGGCTGACGGGAGTGTGGAGGCGGGGATGTGTTGAAGGACTCGGGCGCTTCGCTGCTTCGGCTGCGGGCTCCCTTTCGGTCTTCCCTGGCTGCGGGGCTGACTCTCCTTTGCAGCCAGAGAGGATCTCCTTGGAGTAGGGTCGCCTCCAAACCCCAAATTCCCGGAGCTTCTCTGCAACCGCACCCGGGGCTGGGTGCCAGATATTTCTCTTCCTCTTGGGGAGAGGACGGGAAGGGGGATGACAGCTGACCCACCCTGCAACTGAGGACTAGATTCAAACAGTGAATTTGCCGCTCCCCTTCCCCGGCACCTCCGAAACCCTTGACTCCTTCGGTTAGGGCTGCCCAGAAGGGCTGAGTCCCTGGATCCTCAGCCAAGCGTCAGGATACCGGACTTGGGTGTGGCTTTTGCCAGAGGCCGGTGGAGGGGGCTGAGGGCTCTGAGAACTTGGCAGGGGAAGGAGAAGAGATGTTAGTTAGCAGTTGGGAACCTGAAGGGACTCCCCTCTACCCCCTCGCCGACAGCCTACTGTTAGGAATGGGGTGGGGGGGGGGCTGTTAGTTTCACCTACCACGCGTTTGCTGAATGGGAAGAGGGGTCCAAGTTTAGCCGAGAATGGCAGCTCCTCCTTCTCAGATCCGGAGCCATACCCTCTCTCCACCCCGGTAAGGTACCTTAGGAAAAGTTGTGGCATGGGGAGAAAGGGCCAGATAGAGAGAGGGGTGCAACGCCTAACTCACCCAAAACTAACCCTCAGAGCTTAGGGGGCTTGCTCGGGCACCTGGGAGACCCGAAAGTGGATGGGAGCGTTAGCTGACCACTGGACCCGGCCTTCTTGCGTGGTCTAACTCCGGTTCCCAGAAATGCGCTCCACACATGTAAAAAAAACAGGCAACTGCAGGGTCTTCCCAGGCTAAAGACGGACAGTAGGCACTGTGCTTATCTGGGGCTTCGCCTCTGTCATTGGCACCGTCTTGCCCGAGTTGGGAGACAGGCGGTGTCCTTTCCTGGGGATTTCTGGACCCCCAGCGCGCACACCTGCTTTCAGCACCAAAGGCCCTGGACAGCTCTCAGTTCCATGGGCCCAGGCTCTGGGTCCCTTTCCCTTCAACCCTTCCCGGTGGCCTGGAGTGCCCCCCTCAGCATAAATCAGGCATTTTATCCCCCATATCCCCGTCTTTTTAAATGTAGAGCCCGGAGTGCAGAGCAAAGGAAATTATTCGTCATCTTTTGTTTAACAAAGCATATCATTGAAGAACCCCCCTTTTGTTATGAGGCAATAATAGCCACAATTTACACCAGGTCTGGACAGTTTCTCTGGGAAAGGTAGGGAAAGAGATTTGGTTTAAACAAATCATTTCCACCACAGCGTGGCCTTTCTTAATTAGCTGTCTCTTTCTAACAATGGCTTGGTGGCCTTGAACTGAGTCCAGCTCTCCCTCCCCCACCCCCTTTTGAATCTATATTGTGACTAACACACATACAAAAAGAGCCCAAGGCTACCCAGCAGCGTACTGGATTTTCTAAAGCAGTTCTACCTCTGAGGAGTCCACTCTCCAATACACCACCTTGCAGGAAAAAAAGAAAAATGTCTTATTGGCATATATTGAATTGTCATCCAAGACAAGGATTTCCTGTTCTGTTTCCCTCGCTGGCTTCAAACACACTGTAAGGGCAGAGGGAGACATGTGTGTGTTTTAATTTTTAAGACATTTCATACTATTTTTCCAACTGCTCAACACTACGGCTAGCCAGAATATTTTTTTAATTAACTTCAGGTCACCACCAAATTAAAGTCAAGTGATGTGCTACTTCAGAAAGCTCATTAATAACTGTGTGGTTCTGACTCTGAGTCATAAGGAGGGAGCGAAATCGGCCAATGAGCATTGCCAAGTCTGGTAGTGCATTTGGAGACAACTGACCTTCCACAATAAAATCTATTTTTAATATAGACCCCAACATCCACTAACGTCAGTTGGAAAACCGTTCACCTAACTCAGTGTTGCAAACTAGTTCTTCTGTTTGCGGTGGAGTGGGGGGATTTGTAAATACTCGAAAGGGACTTGTTGCTACATTCTTATGCAGGTCACGTGGTTCTCTGGGCCATTCTGCCGTAAGGCTTGAATAAGTATAAAGTATAACTTGTTTTTGAAGAGGCTCCTTATTGTCTAAGATATGCACATGGGGAATAATTGTAACTACGTGCTAAGACTGCAGAGCCTGAGTATAATTTCTTTTCTTTTTCTCTTGAATTAATAAGGCAAATTCAGTATTGCTCAATAAGACTCAAATTTGCTGCTTCCCCAGTCTCTAACGTGTGTTGTTGTTAGATTCACTTAAAGACTATTTTCATTATGGATTGGCATTATTTTCCATAGAGTTTTGCCCGTTCCTGCCAGGGGCCACCTTATTTAAGCTTGAGGGATTCTTCTTGTGCTCATATGGCTCAGTTAGGTATTACAAAAATAATGTTACATTCCTTTACTTCCCCTTCCAAGGCAAAAGGATTGTTTTCTTATCTTTGCTTACAAGTCCATTCCACCAAGCTGTTCAAATGGGCTCAATTTCCTGGCCCTCCTATTCTGTCCAGAGACAATTTCTGCAATACACCCACTGTGTATACCTCCACTAGGGGCGCTCCAAGCTATAGTTAGCGTCTAAGGGCAGAAGAGAGGGGAATTCTGACCTGTGGAACCACCAGGTGTGTGTAACGCCAAAGGTCAGCAGAATGGAGCTCCTCTCAGCCTGGAAGCCTTGCCGCCATCTCTCCTCTCCCTCTTTCTGCTTACTACGTTTGATTCCTGTTTCTCAAAAGAAAAGTATTGGTCACTCTTGATGCACGCAGTGAAAAGAGAAAGAAAAGGTAAAAGGAAGCCAGGAGAATATATAAACTGCCATTTATGTATTTTTTGTAGTTTCCTTCATGAAGCCAAATTGCAAAACATCCAGTGGCAAGGCTGTTCTAGACAGTTTGACTGAGCTGGGCACTGGACTTTTGATTTATAAAGTTCAGGAAAAAAGTGTAGCTCTATAATTAGAGTGACCTGGGTCCACAGGCCAGCTCCATTGTTTACAAATGCATGGCCTTCAGCAGAACTATCTTCTCTGAACTTCCATTTCGCCATCTGAGGAATGGGGGCAGGGGAAGGAGGACTGATGATACCAGCCTGGAAGGATGGTTGCAGAGATTACATAATGCATGTAAAAGCAGGTGGCACAGAGTAGGTGCCAAAGGGCAAGCTGCTCCTATTAGTAGACACCAAGAAAACAAATCTCTGTGATTGGCGTGAAGCAGATGGTGGTATACATATTGGGATAATTCAGGTGAAAGTAGAAAGGGGTGGAAGGGGGATAGTGAGTAGCCCCGGTTACCTGTATTCTCACCTTTGGCAGATGAGAATTTGACACTGTCTGGTGCAGACACACTCCCTTCCAAACTCTCATGCTGTTTCTTTCTAAACCTCAATATTATAATCAGCAATCAGAGTTCAGTGGTTCTAGAGATCCAGCAGGTGTAGGATAGCAGGTTAATGGTTGCAAAGAAGACATAAGAAGCAAGTCTTCCAGAAGAACACATTTTCCCTCTCATTCATTCATTTGCATTTACTGAGCACTTCCTATGAGTCTTAACTCAGCCTCTGTAACACTAATGCCTTAGATAGGGTGGCTTAAACAACAGAAATTTATTTCTCTCACATCAGGAGACTGGGAAGTCCAAGTTCAGGGTGCCAACATACTCAGTATCTGGTGAGTGTCTATCATCTCTCTTTCTGCTTTGCAGCCAGCCACTTTCTACCTGAATTCTCATATAGCCAAGAGGGACAGAGAGGCCTGGTCTCCTCATCTTAGAAGGGAACTAATCGTTTTCATGGGGGGCCCCATCTTTATGACTTCATTTTAACCTATTTACTTCCCTAAGTCTCTCCCTTCAAATGTCATCATATTGGGGATAAGGCCTTCAACATATTGATTTAGGGGGACACAGACATTCGATCTATAGCACTATGCATGTGGTAGACCTTGTATTGGGTGCTGGAGTGCTATAATATGATAAAGCTCCCGCGCCAGTAATGGCAGCCTAGCAAAGACATCTGCAGGCAAACTAGTATCGTTCATGCCATGTGGTAAGTGCTTTGGTTGGGGGTATCAGAGATCTGTGGGACCTCATATGGATGTGTTTAATTCTCACCAGGGGTGGTCAGTGAAGGCTTCCTGGAGCAGGTAGCATTTGAACTAGCCCTGAAGGGGATATGACAGGTACCAGGAGCCAGAGGAGAAATTTCTACAGTAGGGTAGGGAGAATCCTGAAGGCTTCACTCTCAGAACACATCACACCCCCGCGGAATTGGAGAGAGGAAACAGAGGAGCGAGTGGGAGGAGAAAGTAGGCAGGTGCACATGCTCACACTAAAAAAAAGATGATCTGTCGGACCTGCTTGTCCTCCCTGCTCTCCCCTGAACTTCCCGGGCTGGGTAGATGAGAGCTGGAACAAAGGACTGTGAGCCGCGGTGCTCGCTATTGTCCACTAGAGGTTGTGATGACACCGAAGGAATCTTCTCAGAAGGCAGCGAGGCCCAGCTGCAGAGTATAGACAGCATCACACAGCCGTGGGTAAACAGTGCTTTAGTGGTTATGCACGTTCGCATAATCCTCTGGTACCATAGTTCCTTAGAAGCAGCCCTTTGTTGGCTGTGACAATAGGGAGCAGGGCAGGGAATAGGACTGCTTTGAGGAGAGGGTAAAAGGATGGTGAGTAGGAGGAGGTCAGTGGACGCATGAGATGTAATTTACTAGAACACGCCAGGGACTGAGTCTAAGCAATGCAAAGAGCATTTATTGAGTGTTGACGTTGTTCCAAGCCTTATCACGAGTGGTTTATGTAGATATGTGCAGAGAATCCTCATAATAGGCCCGTGAGAAAGATGCAGTTGTTATCTCTGTTGTATGCACTGAGGAAACTGAGGCACTGAGAGGTTAAGCAACGTGCCTGGCATGACGAAGCGAAGAAAGGGATTGAAGTCCGTCCTCAACCCCAGACTGATGTCATAATCATAACATCAAGTCCCACTACTACCTTTTAGATCCTGCATTCCCCCCAAGACCACGTGGAGATTCTGCTGGTTCATAGGAAGGGATGATGTGTGTTTGCCAGATGCACATGGGATGTGTACTCAATACCTATCGCAGTCCCTGGCACACACAACAAGCATTTAAGTAAAGCTGGTCAAACTGATGTGAGTCATAAGGCAAAACAGGTTACGATTTTATTTATGGGTGATAAGTTCACAATCTGTATAGTTAGTGAGCATTTACTATATCTCAGACACTTACATTGGTTATTTTAACTAATTAAAACAATATCATTTCATTTTATAGATGAGGAAACCAAGGCCTAGAGAAGCTGAGCCAAGGTTTAAATCCAGGTAGCCTGACTGCTTAAACATGGTGCCTTCCAAGCTGGGTCCTTCTGTATTTGTAAATGAAATATGTGAGAAAGACCCTTCACCATTAACGTGAAGTCAGTCTGGATGGTTGAGTGCGCTAAACTCCAAAGACTGTCAGGACAGAGACCAAAACCAACTCTCAGTAGTTCCCAACAAAGATGAACATAGGGATTATTCTTCCCAGTCAAGGAAAGGAGAAGACCTCATAAAAAAGAGTGACCCAGACTGCTCCCTTTTCATTAATTCATTGGTTGACAATTGTTGGCAATTTCTCGAGTTTCCAGGTCACCCAACCATTAATAAATAACTCACATTGTATAAAATTGGTTTCTGTAAGCCCCTAAATTCAGAACCTAAGCTAAACTATTTCCTATCTATGAGCCTCAATTTTTCCTTCCATAAAATGGATCACAACAGTCACTACCACATTCATGGCTAAGATGGGACGAGGGAGTTAAGATGCTTTGCACATACCAAGAAATCAGGCCTTGGGGAAGTAAGTGCTGTCATGGAAGGCTGAAGATCTCAAACACCCCCATGTGCTTCTTCCTGGGCTTGTCATAGCCAACGTTATAGCAAACATAACACTGCTATTTGCCTTTTATTGTGGACCTACTCTGTGCCAGGGGGCTGTCTTTGTGTTTATCCTGTATTCACTTACGTGATCCTCATCTGATCCTATCAGGTGATATGATGAACTAGATCTTACAGATAAGGCAACT